AGTAGAAAACTGGGATAGATGGAGATGAGGTGCCCACTGAAGCCACCGCTTTGGGAGATCAAATGCCTGCTTCATTGGACAGCGGATGGCAGGAATGATGATCATATGGACTATAGGGTGGGCTGGCTGCTTGTGACAACACTGGAGAGTTTATAGAATGAAAAGGACAAGCTTGGGGCTTGAAATCCTTAGCTCAAGACACAGAGAACCAGAAAGCTTCTAGAATGGCCCTAAAGGAATGTTTTACTTCTTGTAGCCAATGGGAAAATATAGCTAAAACTTAGACACAAAATTTAATTGTGTGCATTGCAGAATTACAACCTAAGCTGAATTCACAGATTCAGTAATTGGACTTTTATATGTGAAAGTTATGGCATTGATTGGGAAGCAGTGGGACCCTGAGGCCTGGAATGAGGTTGTTTGGGTGAATTCAGATGGACCTGGGAATCTTATCACGTTTATACCAGGAGACGAGTTGATTTGCTCCTGTTAAGATAACACATCTGGATCAACAGCTGCAATTGGAGTCACAACCTGAGAACATTCATTATAATCATAATCATTCTCCAGGATCCATCTGCCTTCTGCACAGGCCAAGCAGGCGAATCAAATGGGAATGTGATAGGTACCATTACTGCTGCTTTCAAGTCTTGAGTAGTGCCACTAATCTCTGCAATCCAATCCCTACCCACCCCAAGGGTGTGATATTGCTCCTGGTTTACCATCTTGCTGGAGAGGGGACGTTCCAGAGGCTTCTGCTTGGCCCTTCGTACCTCAAGGACCCTCACCTCATGGGTCAGAGAACCAATGTGGGGATTCTGCCAGTTGCTGAGTATGTCCCTTCCAATTATCCATCCAGGAACTGGGGAGCCCACAAGGAGACAAGCTTGGGCCAAAACTCCTTTTATCATCCAACCACTATAAACTCCCTCTTTGTCCACTCAAGAGAAGACTGTGCTGTAGCAGTAAGCAGGGGGATGGACAGCAGAGAGAGTTGCCCAGAGTCAGCGACAGGGGCTTCGATTCACAGATTGGGTAGGGGCAGGGCTTGGAACTGTCCCCAGAATAAGCAGTTGTCCACCAGAAGAGGTCCAAGGGTGGTGGAGCAAGTGTAGGTGGGTCGCACCTCC